TATTTGCGTTGGCTCAACACAATGTCACCTGCCTCATAACAAACCTTCACTCCCAAAAAATAGCTCAGAGTGCCAAGATCCTTCAAAGAAAACTTCTTATTCAATTTGTTAATGACAGTATGCACTTCATCAGATTTGTTTCCAGTGATAATTATATCATCAACATAAACCAACAAGTAAATAACACTAGTGTCTGTTTTATAAACATAAAGAGATGAATCAGATTTTGTTAAGGCAAACCCTTCAGACTCCAAATACATACGCAGACGCTCGAACCAAGCTCTAGGAGCCTGTTTAAGTCCATAAATTGCCTTGTGGAGTCTACAAATAGTTTTTCATTCCCTAACTCATATCCTGGTGGTTGAAGCATATACACTTCCTCAGTAAGAATTCCATTTAAGAAGGCGCTATTAATATCAACTTGCCTTAACATCCAACCATGAGTCAAGGCCAGAGAAAGAACAACACGAATCGTAGAAGGCTTAACAACTGGGTTGAATACTTCATGAAAGTCTACACCTGGCTGTTGAAGAAAGCCTTTTGCAACAAGGCATGTTTTATAGCGTGCAACAGAGCCATCAACATTTTTCTTTACTTTAAACAACCACTTGCATGCTACTGCACGCCTATTTGCAGGAAGAGAAACAAGTGACCAAGTCTTATTCTGGATTAAGGCATCATATTCTTTTTGTGCAGCAGCCTTCCAATGAGGAGACATAAAAACTTCCTTTATATTACGAGGCTCTTTATCAAAACATGCAATTTGAAAGAGTTTTGGTTTCCAAATCCCACTTTTACTTCTAGTCACTATAGGATGAACATTAAGTGTTACATCACTAGGAACATGAGTTGTATCCAGTGAAACAGTTGGCTTAGGTAACTCTTCACGTGAATCAGATCCACTATCAACTGTAGACAATTCAGCAGCACATGGTTCACTACCAGTAGTAGGTAATTCAACAGTGTTATCGATCAAATGGTTAGACTGGTATTTGTCAACCCTTGACCAGTTACACCATTAGGAGTTGATAAAGCTTCCTGTTCAACAAAACCACAGGTAGCACGTTCAGAATTATTGCCGTTGTCAACTGATAACTTTTGTTGTGAAACAATAAGCACAAGCAATACTCCATTAAAAACACCATTAGCAGTATTAGACTTTTCAACCTTGCATGCACTATAAGGAAAAATTGTCTCATAAAAACATAAAGAGAGATAAAAATTCGACCACTTTCATCCAAGCACTTATAACCCTTGTGAGATGAACTATATCCGAGGAACACACATTGCTGAGAACGAAATTCCAGCATGTGTTTATTGAAAGGTCTCAGAAACGGGAAGCAGGCACAACCAAAGATTCTCAAATCAGAATAGTCAGGCAACACTTGATAAAGTTTCTCAAAATGAGATTTACCATCTAAAACATCAGTTGGTAACCGATTTATCAGATAAACAGCTGTTGTAAAGGCATGACTTCAAAATTTTAGTGGCAAATGTGCTTGAGCCAACAAACTCAATCCCATTTCAACCACATGTCTATGTTTTCTCTCAGCATTCCTATTTTGTTATGAAGTACTCGTACATGAAAGTCGATATTGAATGCCATGATCACAAAACCATACATACAAAGCCTGATATTCACCTTCATCATCACTTTGCACAGCTTTAATTTTATGTCCAAACTGAACTTCAACCATTTTATAGAAATGAATGAAACATTGTGCAACTTCTGACTTACGCTTAAGAAAATAAAGCCATGTATATCTACTATATACACCAATAAACGACACACAATAAACATAACCATCAGAAGAGATGAAAAGAGTTGGTCCCCATACATCAGAGACAATTAACTGATAAAGGAGTTGTATTCAGTCAGCGAATTACATAAAGGCAGCTTATGTGCTTTGCCTTGTAAACAAGCAGTACAAACTTGTGACAAACTACTAGCATCAGAAAACACATGACATGATTTCATAACTGCCTTTACTGTCTTAATGGAAGCATGACCTAAACGTTTATGCCACAGATCCAAAAGAGCTTGTGATCTGGACACATTATTGACAAGACACCGAGGCTCTTTCTCTATATTAGGCAACAACTGATATAACCCTTCATTTGTGAGCTTCCCTCGCAACAGAATTGACTGAGTCTGCACATCCTTCACAAAGCATTCAAATGGATGAAATTCAAGAAATACATTTTTATCACGTGTAAACATAGATACATACAATAACTTATTCTTAATAGCTGGAACATGAAGCATATTTTGCAATATCAATGGTTTAAAACTAGGCTGCAAACAACCTTACCAATATGAGCAATTGAAACTCCCTTACCATTGCCCATGAGAAGAGTATTATTACCTGTATAGGTAGATCCTAAGTCAAAAACTGACAAATCATTCGAGACATGGTGAGTAGCACCAATATCTGGGTACCAAATTGCATTCGTAGCAGTCGACTGACTTGATACATTCGAAGAGGCAGCAGGTAATATAGAAACAAATGCTGTTGATGACACATTTTGAAGAGAATTGCTAAACCGAGTATCAACATACAAAGAAGTAAATGATGCATATGGTAAACTATGATAAAATGGTGCTGACATTCCTGAAGTACCAGTATACACAGTGGATGGATACATAAAACCAACTGGATAAAGAGATGGCATATAATGTGTATAAGCTTGTATTCGAGGTGAAAACGAATTAGAAGAAAGGTTATTAGCATTCATACTCAAAGATTTATTCACAACATCATTATGTAGAGACTCAACATTAGTAACACTAGTGGAGTCCCTATCAAACCGATGATAACATTTTTGAACAATATGTCCAAACTTACCACAAAGCTGACACTGAGGTCGATTTGAGCCATTAAATCGTCCTCGACCTCTCCCACGATAGCCATTGCCTTGCTGCCCTCTTGCCTGAGAAGATTGTTTTTTAGTTATCTCTTCATCAGTGGAAACCTTAACTGGCACATCACCAACACGAGTATTATTCGAATGAACCACCATGTTGGCTGAAAGACCATCACTAAGAAACATCTTCTGTCGAGCTTCACAGTCAATAAGCATTTCAGTCAAAGCATCTAAGGACAAAGTATCACGAGAAACAATAGCAGTAATGGATTCAAACTCCATAGACAACCCAACAAGTACAACACTCACCTGCTCCTGCTCAGCAACAACACACCCTGTTGCATTTAACATATCACAAACATATTTTATCTTTTCCAAATATTCACTTACAGATAATCTAGCTTTCCTTTGTGAGTGCAAACTATGTCGAAGTGCAGAGATCTTAGCACTAGATTTGGCACCAAACAGTCGTGCGATGACATTCCAAATAGTAAGGGAAGACATCAACCCTGTGAGATGAGGTAAAACATCCACACTAATTGTTGTTAACAACCAAGAGGCTAGTAACTTATCTTGCTGCCTATACACAACAAACGTTGGATTTTTCTCAACTTGACCAGAATCATTTGTAATTCACTCACTCGGAACAACACTATCAGAAGAAATATATTTCATTAAGCCATAATCATCTAGTATAAGAGCTACTTGATGCTTCCAAAGTAAATATGTATTTTCAGCCAGTTTGACTATATCATGTTTGGGAATATGCTGAACAAAAGAGAGAATATAAGGAAAACTCGAGGAATTCCCAGGAGAATTCATCGGAGAGACTACCTGTGGATCAACCATAACTACCACCATAACAATAGAAAGTCAGAAGTAACACACCTCAGCAGACGCATTATTCGCGAGTAGTCGATCAAACCAGTAGCGGAGAATTACACAGCGAAAAGCAAACCTCCAGGTAACAGCGACTGATACCATGTTAAGATAGAGCTATAGCTCTATCATGAAATTAAGTAAGAGAACAAAAGAAGAAAAGGAAAACTTTTAAGATCATTTTTATTGTAAATCAAAAGTTGCAAATACTAAAAACCAAAAGAGAATTATATACTAAGCTGACTAACAACCCTAACTATTTCTTTAGCTAACTTGATACGCAACATAAGCAACCACATAAGCAAGCATATAACAAACTCTTAATAGCTGCCTAACAAACTCATGCGCATCAACTCTAACAGACTCATGCACAACAAGAAATGTAACAGCTCAACAAAAATTGCATTTCATACTTCAACACTCAAAAGTGGTCCCCCATTGGTCGTTATTAAGGTTGGCTTTTTCACTTGAGGTTCAATCCTTAAGTATCCATATTATTTCAATATATTTGAGTTGTATGGTGTGATGAATAATAATATAAGTTCTAGAAACAAACAATCAAATACGAAATATGAATGGTGTATATTTTATTCCAACATTAATTCATAGCATTCGATAAAATATTTTATTACCTCAATAGTTAAAAGAATCGTTATTTTTTAGAGATCATATGTTTAAGTTGTAATTACCTTAATTGTCAAATGATATAGATTATTTAAAATAAATATTATTTTATAATTATTTAAAAAAACTTATTGAATAGGAATGAAGGAGAGGGTAGGGTTTTAGTTTTGATTGTTATAACGTTTTAATTATTAAAATAATAAGAGTATATTATAGGTTTGATAAGTTAAACTGCTTGCATAACTTAAACGTACCAAATCGATGAATGGAATCATCTTTAGAAAAGAATTATCATGATCGTACTTGTAAAAGCCATCACCTGAATTTTAAAATTAAGAAAGCGTAGAACACCGAGTAATAAAGAAGAACGGAGAAATGTCGAAATGAAACAAAAAAAAGCAGAGCAAGAACCGAGGAGAATGAGATTAAAAGAAAAAGAGAAGATAAAAAGGTTGGCAAATGAAAGAAAGAGGCGGTGAATATAATACACAATACGAGGGTTCCATAAATCCAACTATCCAAGTGGAAGCAAAGTGGAAGCAATGGATGGCGGCGATTACGAGGATTCGAGAGCGAAAGTAAAGCAAGTTTCTTTCGTGTGCTGTGGGAGAAGAGAAGGAAATTTATAAATGCGAACGAATGTACAAAAAACAAAGAAAAAAAGACAAACAAAATAGGAAATGGCGTCTGGTGAAGCCACGTGGCGTATAATCAGTGGTTAGGTAGGAGAGAGGAGGGAGAGGAGAGGAGGAGGAGGAATGGCTGCTTTCCCTATCCACTATTCTCTCTCTCATGCGCTGCCATGTCAGAGTGGTAACCCCGAACGTCCCCTATTAACCCGGCGAATCCGTATCGTATGCTTTCTTCTCCTCCCTCTAGAAAGCCTCAATCCTTCTCTTTGCAACTTCTCTCTTTGTAATTTTTGAGTTCGGTTTATTCTTGTTATTTGTCAATTCTCTCTATTTTATTTCGTTTTTTCCCTCGTGTTTTCGCATTTTCTCTCTCTTTCTCGTATCTCTCTATTTGCTCCATTTTCTCTGCTTTGCTATACCCTAATACCCCTTTATCTCTCATCCTCTATCTGTCTATATTCACTACATCTATCAATCTGTTACTCTTGATATTGTTCCACTTGGTTTTGATTCTTTGATCCACGAGGGATGTCGGTAAGCTTATTTTCCTATCTGGGTATTGCTTGTTTTCCTTTTTTTTGGCTTGGGTTTTTCTAATTTAGGTGCTTTGAGTTTTCTGATCTGTCTATTCTGATGTTTTCTTGCATTTTCCGTGTCGCTTTTCATGTTGGGAGGTGTGTGTTTATGATTTGATTGAAATTTGGTAGTTTTTGCAGTCATTTGGGAATTGGGGTTCTGTGAGCGAGTTTGTTAATGAAGGCGAGTTTGTTCAAATGGTATTTTTTTTTAACTCCAATGTAAGTTGAATGTTTATTGTATACATTGAATTTTTGAAACATAGTGTTATTTTGCTTTGTGTTTCATGAAATCGTTTGGTTTCCATGTTTTATTTCATTCATAGACCAGAATAGGTAATAGGTCCTAGCTGTTACATTTCCCAAGCTGTTTTGATTTATCCTTAAGATTTAGGCTTGCATTTGTTCCTGTTGCTCGTTCAATTGAATGTTTAGGAATGTGTCATACCACCGTCATTGCTGTTTTTTTAATTTTAATTCTTCATTCTTTTCATCCCAGAGATGATGCCTGGATTAATTATGCTACTCCTATCATGTTATCTGGTTCCATTGTTGCCACCGCTCTATATATAATATAGATTTTGACTTTGGTTTTAATTATGTTCACCTTTTTAGCTGAAACCTTAGTGTCTTTCTTTTGGCATATACATGGATTAATTCTTGGGTTTTGGTTTAATGAACTTTTTGATGTTGGTACTTCAACTTTGACATTTTAGAAACAAACAGCTGAAAATAAGGTCGGCTTTGATGTTGCTAAGTAGGATTAGCAGCCGGTGAAGTTCGTTGAAAATTAGAAATAACTAATCTGAAGTCAATTTTGTTTGAGACGTTTAGAAATATGAACAATTGAGGAATTCAATATCATGGGTTTATGTTTTGATGAATTCAATATGATTTCCCTCCCATCTTTCTTTTTTTAATAAATAAAGTTTTCTTTCTTAACGTGCATGCTTCACCCTTCTTTGGTGTAATAAAACCATTGTTTCTTCGTAGCTGTTTTTCTGTCTTGTAACAAGTTATATTGCCGAACATGTAGGAATTTCACCTTGATTCTTTGAAGGAGCTAAGATTGCATATTGGAAGCTTCATTGCTGTGTCTGTGACTTGACATGATTTCTGCTGCTAACAGCCACAATGTTAATACTCATGATTAAAAAAGGATGAAAGATACCAGTTCATTGAATACTAAAATGATTAACCGAAATTGGGTCTTGAAGCGCAAACGAAGAAGGCTTCCATGTGGTCCATCCCTAGCCATTGGTAAAGAAGAAGACTTAGCATCAGAATCTCCAAGGAGTTCTTTAGCTAAACGTAGGCTGAAAGGAGAAAATAGCTCCAATCAGCTATCCAAAAAGAAGGGAAATGATGGGGTATGCCATTTTTGTTATTGTCCCTTCATTTAGTTGTTTCCCTCTTTGCAATGTGGTTCTTATCTTATCTTATTTTGATTTGTTTGTTCGTGGTGGATGCTGATAAACTCTCTCCTTAGTTCTTTTCTGGAAAATGTTCTTGGCGATATGTTCGATTTTTACTCAAATTTTGATTGATCAAGTGTTATGAATTTAGCTAGATGTTTATTGAGTATCAGAATCAACATGCCAGCAATTTGAGTTATACATGCTGTTCAATATAATTTTTCACTCAAGAGAAAACGGGCTCAGAACACATTTTTTTCCCGTTGCAATATGGTTAGTGCACTTCTTGTATGCATCAATTCATGTGATCTTGAGTACTTGTGGGTTCTGACGATGATTATGGATTGTGTTTTCAAGAACGTTTCATTGTTTTACATGTCTCCCTCACCTTGCTTTGCTTGAGAAATGTGTATACAATTTTGCTGTTAGACAATCATTATACTGTGTGTATCATACAGCAGAATTGTGTGAGGAACAAAATCCAGTGGAATGTACATCCATTTGCAATGTCATGTCTTGACTGTGTTTTTAGGCATATTTAAACTGTTTCTGACAACTGTTCTTGGCAACTTTTATTGTCCCCAGTACTACTATGAATGTGTTATTTGTGATCTTGGTGGCAACTTGTTGTGTTGTGATAATTGTCCCAGGACTTATCATCTACAATGCCTTGATCCACCTCTTAAGGTATGACATTGCAGCTAACTTTAAATGATCCTTTTTGTTTTATGGCTACGTTAGCTATTATTTTTTACTCATTTTGTTTCTTCTCTTTTCTTTCTTCTATTGTATTCATGATTGCAGCGCATCCCAATGGGGAAGTGGAAATGCCCAAAGTGCTGTAAGACAGATCCACTCAAGCCCATTACCCATCTGGATTCAATTTCCAAACGAGCAAGATCAAAAACTATCAAGACAAAAGCTCAATCTGGAATAAAGTCAGCTGCTACTGAAAAAGTGTCCCGAATTTTTGGAACGTCCATTATTGCAAAGAAAAGATCCTCCTCCAGTAAAGGAAAATCTGATGCAGCTCATATAGAAGTAGCTTTTAACCCAAGTCTTACAGCCCTTGGTGGTACTAATGAAGGTGGTTCATCTTGTGTGAATGTTGATGATGGAAATAAGCCTGTTGCATCTCCAACAGGTACATCTGCTGAAAGGAAGTTAACTCTTGTAGCTAGTGGCTCATCATGTGTGAATATAGAAGATAGAGTGAAGCCTGCTGCACCTCCAGCAGGTTCATCTGTTGAACGAAAGTTAATTCCTGTAGCTGGTGAGGTTTTATCTCGTTCCAAAAGCACAAATTCAGAGCAAAATGATGAAGCACCTGGACCGAAACATGAATTGTCTTGTGATAATGAGTCTTCCAAAAACAAACTTGTTCTTGCAACTGGTATCACCACAAGGAAAGATAGAAAAAGAAAGCAGAAAGTCGGTAATGAGGTAAGTCAAAAGAAGCATAAGAGAGAAAAGGGTAACCGTGCTGTTAGTATTTCCAAAAAGAAGGGTTCCAAAGCGAATAATATTGGTTCTGGAACTAGTAAAACTCATCAGAAGCGAAAATTTGTTAGCCATGGGATTTCTGCATCTTTGTCAAAGGATGATGATGGGAGCAAGAATTTAGATTCTCAGAATAAAGATGAGGTATGTTATAATCTTCTAGGTTCACCCCAAACACTGGGTGGTTGGAGTGATGTGGGTTAGAAGAAAAACAACAATAATCAAAATAAATAAGGCTGAACAAACGAGTAGGAAAGATGTAACTCAAGAAAATACTTAGGGTTAAGAGAAATCTCTAGTCCTTTCTATTAATTTAAAGAAAAACAACAAGATAATTATTTTGGCTGTAAAGCCTATAACTTATTTATATAGGCTTTCTTTCTTGCACTCAAAGTTTTAATCCTACCCCTAGATTTAAACCCTGGAGATAATTAATAATCCTAACCCTAGTTTTAACCAAAAATATATCTTATAATCCCAGTCGTCTATCTATATGTCTACTAATTTATTAATAAGAAAAATAATAAAATAACCTAAAAGTAAAAACTCCTGCATCATTCTCCTCAGTTTGGAACATCTTGACTCTGACGAGAAGGCTTTCACCACTTAAGTATAAATTACTCGGTCAGCTCTTTGTATGCTCTTTTTCATGTAATCAAAATAAGCCCAGAAAAATAAAGCTGAAAGTCATTGAGTGTTTCATGTTGCATTCCTGAATCAAGAACAAATCTCCTCCATGCGTGTAGACATACCAAGTAACCTTTATTTTCCTTTTCTGCACCAACATAAGGGTCTTTGAAGCATAATCAGAAGTATACAAGTCCAAGTGTCCAATCAACACATAACTATTGTCTCAGAACAAAAAACGAACTAGGCCTAGATGCTTAAACAAGTAATTGTTGTTTGGATGCCAAGGAAAAGAGTCCTAAGATATTATTAACAAAAAATCCTTATTCATACATTTTCATGAATTTCATCCTCTAGCAATTGGCTTGACATCATTTAAATTTGGGTATCCAAATATTCTAGCACAACTTGCCTCTTTAGGGAACTCTGGAACCTTCATATTTTCTTGCTTTTTCTTGAGTTTCGCATTGAATTCTCTCTTGGCAGAATTTTGATTTGATTATAGAAATTGAATCAACTCCTTTTTTTCTCGTAGATCATCACTCACTGTTGTGTCCCTTGAGATATTGTAGAGATTTCTGACTTGCTTCCATTCCTTTCCTTCTTCTGAGACTTTGGTTGTCATCACGCTTTGAAAAACCAAAAATTCTCTTTGAACCAGATACACATCAACTTCTTCATTTTCGTTAGGATATTCTTTTTTTTTTTTTTTTGATAGAATATAGGCCTCATTAAAAACCCCCTTCCTATCCTACATGTTACATAAGTAACATGAAGGACAAAGGAAGGAGGAAAAGAGCGCCTCTGAATTGTATTAATCTTGAACATAACATACAACCAATCCATAACCATGGTCTGCTTATAACATAAGACTTAACAATCATAGACACAAACTGCAGCAAAAAAAACAAGCCCCTTAAAAAACAGAACACCCCAGCTTAATAACTATAACTCATAACCACTGATCATCCTATACCAGCTTTTGCCAACTCATCCGCTTCCCAGTTAGCAGCTCTCACATATGCACATTGTCATGAAAAACGACTTCACCATGAATACCATCCATGTTTAATTCAAGGGCATCAACTAACAGCTCCATTCCACCTTGTACAACAGGGTTTATGGGTTCAGCATCATGAAAGGGGATTTCTTCATCACCTTAAGACTACCTTTCGGTATGTGAAACTGGTTGAGGGAACCTTTCAGAATCTCCATTTGGGTTCCCCCTCGTTGCTGTTGCAGCCAAGCGTAAACTACATGAGGCAATTCTTCGGTCAAACGTCATACCACAACCAATTCTGTTTCTTGATACTGATTTCCTTCTCCTCGAGCTTTAACACCTCCAACTACGGTTTGACAACAAAGTTTACTCTAAACTCTAGATCTGATGAGGCTCTAATTACCAATATTGATGTGGATAAGAAGAAAAACAACGGTAATCAAAAGAAATAAGGCTGAACAAACGAGTAGGAAAGAAGATGGAACTCAAGAAAAAACTTAGGTTAAGGGAAACCTCTAGTTTCTTTCTATTAATTCAAAGAAAAATAATAAGAAATAATTATTTTGGTCTTAAACCCAACAACTTATTCATATAGCCTTGATTTCTTGCGAGTGAAGTTTTAATCCTATCTCTAGATTTAAACCCTAAAGATAAATATTGATCCTAACCCTAGATTTAACCCAAAATATATTTTATAATCCTACCCGTCTATCTATACGACTACTCATTAATTAATAAGACAAAAATAATAAAATAACATAAAAGTAAAAGCTCCTGCATTGTGGAGGTTTTTTTTTATTATTTTCTTTCATTTGCTTAGTTGAGATTTGGAGTGAATGTTATAGAGGATGATAGTGGTTATATGTTTTCTATAATGAGTCATTATAGATATTTTTTACTGTCCTCTAGAAGTTTTTGTACTTAAATAGATTCTTCTTTCTGAAAAGTAATATCACATATGTGATTGGTAGAAAATGTTGGTCTAGAGTAGAGTTCTCAGAAGTATAATTGGGAAGAGATAATAGCTGGATAGTTATGTCTTCTTAACTAAACATGTTCTGCATATTTTAACTAGAATGTCTAGTTGACGTTTTCTATTTATTTTAAGTTGGTGTTCAAGCTTTTGGTTTACATCAGGTTGATAAATGTCCTTAAATCCTGCTGTCTGCTAATTATTTCCCTATTGATGCATAAATTTACAGCTCCAGCTTTGATGGTCTTCTTTCTTTGGCACTTGCATAAATTTATGTCTCTGTTTATGTTGGACATTGAAGTGTGACTTCCTAAAGTTAATGTCATGAGTATATGATACAAACATTAACTCACTAGTTTATGATTTCTTACAAAATAAAATGGCTGTCTTCATATGTCAATATTTCTCATTGCTGATGATCACATCATTGTGACTACTCTTGATATTCTTTCTGCTGATTGTTTAAATCTTGCTAATTTCTTGAGAAGAAGCTTCCCGAGGGTGCAACACACCAGCCTGTTGAATTGGATAAAGGGACTCCGAATGTCCTTCTGATATCTGAAGACAGTGTTCCTGCTGAACCTCTGCAGGTTAGTTCACTTATCTGTATTGGTTAAAGACTTGCTTTTTTGGCTAATCAGTTGCCTTTTTCCCAAATTTCACACTTTTCTGCTTCCCAGGTTGATCGAGTTCTAGGATGTCGGGTTCAAGGTGATAATACTAGTATTTTGCATCATGCATCTGCAGAACTTTCAGAAGATGTGCTCTCTGATGACTTTGTAATTGCAGTAAATCGAAGAAGACTTTCAGAGAATTCTTTTTGTGATATGGATTCAGATATTGTAACTGCTGAAAATCTTACTGATGGTTGTCCCAAGACTCTGAAAAGTTCTGATAAAGAAGAAAGCACAAAAAATGATGTCAGGGTGGATAAAATGAATGTGTATAGAAGGTCTGTCACTAAGAAATGCAAGGGAGGGGATTCTGTGGACTTATTGAGGAAAGACACCAAGGATTCAGATGGTGCAATCATAAATGGTAAGGATCAGGATGAATTTGCAGTAACTGCAGAAGATCCAGGAAAAATAAATGAAAAAATGGTAGTAGAAGAGTTCAATCCTGATGTTAATGTGAAAAGTCATGATACAACTGAAGCTCCAAAAGTTTGTGAAACGCCTACAAAAGCAAAAGAGATGGGTGTAGGAAAGGAAATTAGTAGCAGTGTTGAAAATAAAATCCAAGAACCAGCTGTGACCGAATCTGCATGTTCTAAAGAGGAGATAATATCTTATGAATTTTTAGTTAAATGGGTGGGGATGTCCCATATCCATAACAGTTGGATTTCTGAATCCCAGCTGAAATGTCTAGCAAAGAGGAAACTAGACAATTACAAGGCCAAGTATGGAACAACTGTGATAAATATCTGCGAGGAAAAGTGGAAGAAGCCTCTGCGAGTTATTTCTGTCCGTGTTTCAAATAATGTCCAGGAAGCTTTTGTGAAATGGACTGGTCTTCCATATGATGAATGCACTTGGGAAAGGTTAGATGAAACTGTTCTTCAACAATCTTCTCATCTGATTGATCAGTTTTATCAGTTTGAACGCCAAACATGGGAAGTAGATGCCACTAAGGATGATGCTTGGGCAAAGGGGGAACAGCAGCGTGATATTGTTACTTTGGCTGAGCAACCTAAAGAATTGAAGGGAGGCTCACTATTTCCGCATCAGCTTGAAGCACTCAATTGGTTGCGTAGATGTTGGCATAAATCCAAAAATGTTATACTTGCTGATGAAATGGGGCTTGGAAAAACTGTCTCTGCTATCGCCTATATTTCGTCACTTTATTTTGAGTTTAAAGCTACTCTGCCATGTTTAGTGCTGGTTCCACTTTCTACTATGCCTAACTGGCTTGCTGAGTTCTCATTATGGGCCCCCGATTTAAATGTTGTGGAGTATCATGGTTGTGCCAAAGCAAGAGCCATCATTCGCCAGTATGAATGGCATGCTAGTGATCCAAATGAATCTAGTAGGAAAACAGCTTCTTACAAATTTAATGTTCTTTTAACTACATATGAAATGACTCTTGTGGACTCCTCTCATTTGCGTGGTGTTCCTTGGGAAGTTCTTGTGGTTGATGAGGGTCATCGTTTGAAAAATTCAGAAAGTAAGCTGTTTAGCTTGCTCAACACATTCTCTTTCCAACATCGTGTTCTATTGACTGGAACCCCACTCCAGAATAACATCGGCGAGATGTATAACTTGCTTAATTTCTTGCAGCCAGCTTCCTTCCCTTCTTTATACTCATTTGAGGAGAAATTTAATGATCTTACAACTGCAGAAAAGGTGGATGAACTGAAGAAACTTGTTGCTCCTCATATGCTTCGAAGGCTTAAAAGGGATGCCATGCAAAATATTCCTCCTAAAACTGAACGAATGGTGCCTGTTGAGCTGTCATCCATTCAAGCTGAATACTACCGTGCAATGCTAACTAAAAACTACCAGATATTACGGAATATCGGGAAAGGGGTTGCACAACAGTCGATGTTAAACATTGTGATGCAACTGAGAAAGGTTTGTAATCATCCATATCTCATACCAGGTACTGAGCCTGAGTCTGGATCACTAGAGTTTCTTCATGAAATGCGTATAAAAGCTTCAGCCAAGTTGACTCTGTTGCATTCCATGCTTAAAGTCTTATACAGAGAAGGCCATAGAGTTCTTATTTTTTCACAAATGACTAAGCTTCTTGATATCCTTGAGGATTATTTAACCATAGAATTTGGCCCTAAAACATATGAGAGAGTTGATGGCTCTGTTTCAGTTGCTGATCGTCAAACAGCGATATCAACGTTCAACCAAGATAAAAGTCGATTTGTTTTCTTGCTATCGACACGTTCTTGTGGTCTTGGTATCAATTTGGCAACAGCTGACACAGTTATAATTTATGATTCTGATTTTAACCCACATGCTGACATCCAAGCTATGAATCGGGCACATCGAATTGGACAATCAAACAGACTTTTGGTATACAGGCTTGTAGTTCGTGCCAGTGTAGAAGAGCGGATTTTGCAACTTGCTAAGAAGAAGCTAATGCTTGATCAGCTGTTTGTCAACAAGTCTGGATCCCAAAAGGAAGTGGAAGATATTCTGCGATGGGGAACAGAAGAACTCTTCATTGATTCTTCTACTGGGAAAGATTTAGGTGAAGGTAATAACAATGAAGAAGATGCCCTAATGGATACAGAACATAAGCACCGGAAGAGGGTTGGTAGTCTTGGAGATGTGTACCAAGACAAATGTACAGATGGCAGCAACAAGATTGCGTGGGATGAAAATGCAATTTTGAAATTGCTTGATCGTTCAGACCTTCAGTCTGAAACAACTGATGTTGAGGGGGATTTGGAAAATGATATGCTTGGCTCAATAAAGGTGAGGTATTGTACTCATGTATGTTGAAGTGTCTGGTTTTGTGTTAATACTTGATACATTCATTGGCTGACGAATGCAATGATGTGTTGTACATTTTTTTCTCTGCATGAGAATGATATAAATCGATGCATATGTTTAAATAAAATTTGGAATTACTGTTTTATTGTTTCTATATTTTCTGTTTGCAATAAAATTGTCTATTTAATTGATGTCCCCCCCCCCCCCAAAGTTGAGCTTAAAATGTATGATTTAGTTGGTCAAAGTAGGAGCTTCTGGGTATACCCCTTAATTGTTGCGAGCTGTTCCAGTTTAGCAAGCCTAAAGCTTCCTGGTAGCTTTAGGTTATTATACGGATTTTTTGCAGGTTATAATTTTTTTTATGCATACAATCTTGAATGTTATTGTCAACTATTAGAACATGCTGTTGAGGTTTATTGAATCTGTTTATCCTTTAAATTTTGTTGCCAAGAGAATTCATGCTTATGTGAGAATCTCATTTTATTGTTAAAATTGATAGTTTTTTCAATGTCTTATTATCTCATTATGCATTTCAATGTCTTATTATCTCATTATGCATCTTTATTTGGCCACCATTTGAGGGGTCTTAAAAGTAGCTTCTGATTGGACTTTATTTTCCTTGGGAAATTCTTATAATTCCTAATACTTTCTTTTGAGTTGTTTGGTCTTATTTGTGGTTGTGATAGACTTACCTAATTTTATCATTTGCACTTATTCTAATTTCAAGGAAAGCAGTAAAATCTTGTTGTTTCTTTTATTGAACATTTCCTCATTTCTTCATGTGCAGTCGGTGGAATGGAATGATGAAACAACAGAGGAACCAGGGGGAGGTGAATCACCTCCAGCTGTTGCTGGTGATATTTCTGAGCAGACTTTGGAGAAGAAAGAAGAAAATATGTTAAATGGTACTGAAGAAAATGAGTGGGACAAACTTTTGCGTGTGAGGTGAAGAAATCCCCCCCCCCCCAAACCAATAATTTATTTTCTATAAAAAAAACTGTTGAACTAAATGTTCCTTACATTTAAATGCACAGGAAAATCTAAGTTCGCACATGAAAACTCAGTAGAATAGTTGAGAATATGATTAAAATCATGTACAGCATACAATCATGGAATGAGTTCAACGGCTAGGAATTTGTGTTTGTTGAACTTATGAGGACCTCCAGGCATTCCACTAGGATGATAAACTTATGTTTGGTGCGAGAATAAAAACGCTTACACCTTTTAAATTTATTGAATTCATTTCTTTGGAGAACAACCAATGCAGTTAACATTGATCTGTAAAAATCTTAAATGATAAGTTGAGGCATTCCAGACATTTAGCCATCTAATTAGCATACATTATGTGTACTTTTCAATAAATTTCTTTCAGATGGTATATCCGAAAGTATCTTGTGTAGTTTAAACCTGTTGGTGCATAAAGATTAATTTATATTACACTTTTGTTATAGGAATAAAAGTTTAACAAAACCTAGTTGAAATGATTCATATATTATATGCAATTGAACTTTTTTGGGAGACAAATACTGTTGAACTTCTGTTAAAGAACTGAAGTGTAATGTCACCAAAAACTTGATTTTTCACTTTGGCCGTAGCTTTTTTTTTTTGTTATGGACTTGTATAAACTTTCTTTGATTTACTGTGTACAGGTGGGAGAAATATCAAAGTGAGGAGGAAGCAGCCCTTGGTAGAGGGAAGCGGCAAAGGAAAGCTGTCTCCTATAGAGAAGCTTATACTCCCCATCTCAATGAAACCATGACCGAGGTACATCACTTCGCTTTCTGCATTAGAATGCATGTGAAACTGGCTATCTTTTATCCTTGATATGTAGAACTTTTCAAAATATACGGAGACCCTTGCTTTATTCCGCATTCACGTGCTTGCTTAGTAACCTGTAACTTGAAAGTAGCCTACATTAGTTCTTGTACTGGTTATTCAAGGTGTTTGCACCTTGTTGTTTTGTTGAAAAGCAGAGTGGTGGTGACGAAGAAAAGGAACCAGATGCTGAGCCAGAGCGGGATTATACACCAGCTGGACGGGTCCTTAAAGCAAAGTAGTAAGTTCTAATTCCTTCTGAGAATTGCACTTTCTGAATTTTCTATTGAGATGCCATTAAAATGGTTTTTTGAAATGACTTCACTAGCAATAATTTGAATGCATGTTAGCTGACAGATTGTTAAATGGGGTAAGTGAATCCGTATGATACATTGGAGTTAAACTGTTGTCCATTAGTAGAAAAGTATACTTGCTCCAATTACATGAACTCTTTGAATAATTTTGCATTCATTTCCACCCAATCTTTTACTTTCACAAATACAATTTGGTTTACTTTTCTCAAGTAGATTAGTAGGATAGATTCTTAATTGTTCAATATCATGGGTTAACTAAGAGGGAGGTTTTTAATGAGGCCTATTATTCCTATCAAAAAAAATATCATGAGTGCATTAATTTACTCTATATCCGTTTTGACAGTACTAAACTCCGTGCTCGACAAAAAGAACGGCTTGCTAGGAGAAATACAATTGAAGAAGCTCATCTCAGTGAGGGATTTCCTGGACTTGAGTCGGTAGCTCAGTTTCCTTCAGTGAATGAAAGAGATGGGGATCATGTTACTAAGTCAGACCAACAACCAGATAAAGAGAGGTGTTTGGTAATTGATTTGGAGGATGAGAAACTTGGTCAATCATCAGATGAACCAAAGAGGAAAGATGATTCAATTTTAAGGCTTGGGAGGTTTTCTAAACATAAAAGAAGCGGACAATTGGATCTTTCTGTTAATCTTCTACATCAGTCTTCTCCCGAAGAAATCCTTCCAAATATCAATCATCAAGGCATAAATTATAGCAACTCTCTACCAACAAATAACTTGTTGCCAGTTCTTGGGCTTTGTGCCCCTAATGCTAGTCAGCTAGACTCGTTTCATCAAAGCTTCTCAAGATCAAACGGTTGGAAAAGCAGGGCACAAACTGGACCAGAGTTTCCATTCAGTTTAGCTCCAACTACTGGACCTTCAACTGAGAAAGAAGCAAAAGGTCAAGAGACTACCATGGACAAATTTAAATTGCAAAATGCATTACCAGATAGTTGGCTCCCATTTAATCTGGTAACTCTCTTTCTCAGCATTTTGTTTTCTTTAGTTTTCAAATACAAAACCTTCCAGTCCATGTTAATATATAGTGACAAGAATTGTTTCCTTGCAGTATCCTCCTGCTGCTTCACAAGGAAAAGTTTTTGATCGGTTAGAAAGTTCTGGTGCTAGTTCTTCTGATTTTCAGGAAAAGATGTCGCTGCCTAATATTCCTTTTGATGAGAAATTGCTGCCCCGGTTCTCCCTTCCTACCAAAAGCATGATGACATCAAATCCTGACCTATTACCTAGCTTATCTTTAGGCAGTAGGCTTGATGCTGTGAATGAATCAGTGCAAGACCTTCCAACAATGCCATTGCTACCCAATTTGAAATTTCCTCCACAAGATGTGCCAAGGTATAATCAACAAGAGAGGGACATGCCTCCAACATTGGGATTGGGTCAGTTGCCATCCATTTCTTCTTTTCCTGAAAACCATAGGAGGGTGCTTGAAAATATCATGATGAGAACTGGATCTGGATCCAGGAACTTGTATAAAAAGAAATCAAAAGTAGAGGGCTGGTCAGAAGATGAACTTGATTTTCTCTGGATTGGTGTTCGTAGACATGGACGAGGTAGTTGGGATGCCATGCTTAGAGACCCCAGGCTGAAATTTTCCAAGTATAAAACTTCAGAAGATTTGGCAACTAGATGGGAGGAGGAACAACTCAAAATTTTGGATGGGCCGGCTTTTCCAGTTCCGAAATTCCCCAAGCTAACAAAAGCAACCAAACCTTCTACCTTGTTTCCAAGCATTCCTGATGGAATGATGACGCGGGCATTGCAGGGTAGTAGGATTGTTGCACCATCAAAATTTCAAGCGCCCCTGACTGACATGAAATTTGGTTTCAGTGATATAGCTTCCGGCCTGCCTCACTTTGAGCTATCAGATCAGCTTGGTTTGCAAAATGATAATCTTCCTCCTATTCCAACATGGAATCCTGACAAATCTCGAGCAAACTTTTCTGGAGATTCAGTTGCTGGGCCCTCTGACAGGCCAGGGCCGTCCGCAAATTTATCTGTTGAGAAACCTTTGTTTCTCAACTCTTTTGGAGCCAGCAACTTGGCCTCAAGTTTGAATTGCACCAGTAGCTTTGATTTACAGAGGAAGGAAGATGAATATGGTACAATGAAGTATAGGAAATTGCCTACTGTTCTTGATAGATCACTAAATTTGTTACACGATTCCCACAATAATGGTGGAAGCGGTGAATTTGCTAGCTCTGGGTTTCTCCCTGATCCAAATAAAGGGCTGAATCTTTCCTATTCAAAGGGAAAGGTAGTTGGAAACTGTTCTTCCAAGAACAAGTTACCTCACTGGCTTCGTGAAGTTGTTAGCGTTCCTGCCAAACCTCCAGATTCTGATCTACCACCTACTGTCTCGGCAATAGCTGAGTCAGTTCGTGTTCTGTATGTAGAAGGTAAGCCAAACATTCCCCCAATTGTGGCACCTGGGCCCCCTCCTCCTCAACCGAAGGATCCGAGACACAGTCAAAAGAAGAAAAAGAAAAGGAAGTTGCACACGTTTAGGCTGGTCCTACCGGATTCAGCTGGAAGTAGTAGGCTCTCTCCACCATGCTCAATTCCATTGACACCACCATTTCATTTGCTTCCACAATCAATAACTGGAACTGCAGGGCCTCCTTTGATTGCATCTGATATCAGCAGGCCTCCTCTTAACTTAAGCATGATGAATCCATCATCTTCATCGGCGTATCTAATTCCACCAAAGAAATCAAGCATGGGATTATCCCCCTCCCCTGAAGTGCTTCAGCTGGTAGCATCTTGTGTTGCTCCAGGGCCACACTTGTCATTAACTTCTGGCACTACTAGTTCTAGCTTACTTGATGGCAAACTTCCATTACCTATGCTTGGTACCGAAGTTGGAGATCCAGATTCACAAGGTGTATCTGAAAAAGGGAAGGCTAAACTGAGCCCACACATTGGTGATCAGGATCAATCTCCAGAGCCGGAGGAGAAACAAGATGAGCCTGATTGTGGGGATTCTAGCAAGACTAAGTCTGATCATTCTCGGCCTGAACAGCCTAATGTAGAGGAAATATCATCAGAAGGCACCGTGTCAGATCATCCTGTGAGTGACCATGATGCTGGTATACACGAGTAAACAATGAAAAACAAATATTCTTGATGTGCTCGAATTTTTGTAGGCGTGATGCAGTGAGTGATTAGCTAGCATATATAGGAATCATTTAGGACATCTCTAGCGTAAAGTTTGTGTAAGAGGAATGAAGTATATAGTGTTTCCGGCCCGTCATGGCTTTTGTGCCTTGGCTCCATTTTGCGTGCTCATGACTATTTGCGGCTGCCAACAATGGAGATTTTCATCTGCACAATGAGCTTCGTTGAGCCGATCTAACTGGGTGACAACACATTATTTCTATTTGGTTTGTAACTGCATCGGGGAAATGAAAACTCTCGTAGAAATACGAGTGAAAGACATCACACATCTTTTATTAAAGGTAATATGCCATTTTTTTATTAGTATGAGTGATTATCAGATAGTACATGTTCTGAATTTTTATAGTCAATTGATAATAAATACAAACAAACACTTTATAGACATAGTTGCGCGAACTTAAAACCTCTAAAGAAAATAACATTCTTCTGTACTACTAAAATCGTTCAATGGATTATGTTTTAGATTAAAGTTTATATTAATTAAGTATTTTGAAATTGAGTTAAAAATGATATTTCTTCATTTAGTTCATTTAATAAAAATGTTTTTCTTAATATAATCATACTTGTAGTATTGTACTCACATGCCCATTCTACCTGACTTGTTTGCATATTGACTATTGCATTTGCATGTTGCTGACACTTTACAAGTTCGAATTGTGTAAATGTCTCTAATTTTTAAATTGTTTATATTGTTTCACTTATAATTTATTTAATTATTATTGTGTGACGAAATGTTATTCGACTTCAAATTTTTATTATTTTAATATTTGAATGAAACTATTTATATTGGAATGATACATCCTGATTGAATAGAAGTGCTATATATTTTATGCAAGAACCATCTATAAAATCAAACTTATTCTTAACAATTATAGCTATGTGCATGGATCTAGTCCAAATGCTATAATTTTTAAACCTCGAAAGCTAATGCAAAGTAAAAAAAGTCTCTTACATGTTGGAAGGATGAAAATATAAAGGAAGCTTAAAGTTAACAATAAGATTTTGAAGATTCACCATATGGATTAAAATCAATAAAAAATAATATATCTAAGAAAATAAGATGAATAGGAGAAAATGCAACAAATCAGAAAAGAAAAAATTAAATACAAAATGATATATATATATATATATTAGGATCCATTTACACCAAATGCAAAACTAATAGTTTTACACTTTTTCAGGATCCTTAGATGAGGATAAATCAAATGATGTGATTAACTCTTTGTGTTTTTTTCTAGTGAATATCTTTTTATTTTTTATTGTTTAACTCAACCCTTGAGATTAACTCCTAGTGTTTTGATACCATATCAACGATGATTCAAGCCAATATATAAAAATAAAAGTGAAAATGATAAAAAAAAAATGAAATACGAGTACTTTGGAAAATATAAAGTATAGTCACCAAGTTTTAGTCACTTTTTTAAAGAAAAATTTGAGATAATTACAAGATAACATTTGCTTAAATATTTTCTTAATTTATTGATAACGTGTACATAGGGATGGGCATGGCTCGGGTCGGGTTTTTGGTCCACCCGACCCGACCCGAGAACAATGAATCCTCCACCCGAGATTCGACCCGACCCGCATGAAACAAGATTTCACCCGACCCGAACCCGACTTGATATATAACTTAAAAATATTATTTTTATTCAATAAAAACAATGACTTAATTGATAAAAAAATAATATATAAAGGGATATTATTGTAATTATACCTAAATATAGAAGGTAAAATTATATAAATTTTTCGGGTCAGGTCGGGTATTTATCACCCTAAACTCGACCCGACCCGACCCAAACATCACATTTTAAAAACCCGAACCCGATTTTTTTTAAAAAACCCGATCCAATCGGGTCAGAACCCATCGAGTTCGGTTCTATGCCCATCCCTACATGTACACACATTAAAAGATTTAAAAAAAATATTTCTTCTTACATTAAAACTATTCAATGATTCTCAAGTGCTTTTAAATAAGTACAGTTATTCCCTTTCCCATGTCAAGTGTTTTCCCGTACTAAAGTTACACCCTCACTCGTCAATGATTGCATTGAAAATGCACATAAAATTAATTGTTTTGAACTGGTGTCTCATTTACGAGACAAAGTATCCAATCAGAAAATTTACTATAGTTAAAAATGATCATAAAATTGGACATGCATATTACTGTGTGATAGGGTTAATAAACTACTGATTCTCTTAACTCTGATGATGGAAATGTAAAATGTATATCAATTTTCAAGCATGAAGAAATATTAATTTATTAATCTGTGTAATTTCTTGGAAGGTTTACACGTTCAATTCCGAAACTAGTGGTTTAAATCGTTTTAACCATCGCTAACAAAAGGGAAATAGACCGCACAAAATATATCTTCTGCATTGATGAGAAGAAATAGTTAACAACAGATATAGACAATTTTTTTTATTTAAATGGAGAATTATAATCGGTGGTTAAATTAGGGAGTGTAACGGGTCAGGTTAGGGTCGAATTTTTAGTCAACCTAATTCGACTCAAAAATATATATTATCTATCCGAATTCGGTTTGACCCGAAAATTATATATCCTCTATCTCTCTTAGATCTGACCCGAATTTTAGAGTTTAAATCCGACCCGATCCGATATAAAACAATGATTTTATAAAAATAAATATTTTTTAAAGAAATTACATTATTATTCTCAGATTGGATCGGATTGGAATTTTTTAACCCTCCACCTGAATCCGACCCGATATGACTCACCCCTTAAAAATCTGACCCAAGCTGGCCCAAATTCATTTTTTTTTAAAAAATCAACCTGATCGGATCAAATCAGGTCGAAACCCATCAATTTCGAGTTAAATTGTCATCCTTAGGTCAATTGATAATTCACCACTATAAAGATCTTCAGTCTTCATAAGGAAGAAGAGAATGAAATGATGAGTATAATTTGAAGATTTTCTCTTAGTCTCGGTTGAGAAGTTTTATGGTAATTTTTAATATTATATTTTTTAGTCTCGGTTGAGAAATTTCATAACAACCTTTAATGTTATTGTTAGGTATAAAATCATAATGATTATTTGAACGTTAATAGGCATAATAAATATAGCCAAACTAACAATTAACTTTGGTTATGGCTAGAAGCACTTAAGACCTAATATCCATAAATATTTTCCCAAAATTTTAATTGCAGAAAAATTATCCAAAGATGTTGACGTTTGAAAAATATTTTACGGAAAAGCCAAAAGGTACAGCACTGTGATTACGACAATTCTTAAACACTAACGATGAAGACGAACACAATTCAGATTCGGTACGTAGTTACTTTTATTGACTAAATCTCTTACTACTACAAGCAATAAACACAGTAATTTAATACAATGGGTGAATACATAGTAAGATGATAAAGGAATTGATAATAAAGCTAAAGCTCAAACTTCATGCCAGGAAAAGCACATCATCCATCACAAACCCTTGTGCAAACAAATCATCATCCAACTTAATTCTGTCAAAAGAAACTTCGCCTTCTTCTTCTTCATTTGACAGTTGCTGCTGGTACTGGTAATGGCACTCATATTGTCGTTGTTCATGCCTGGTGTCAACAAACGGCTGCGATAGTATCGGACCGTCATCCGAAGTAGTCCTGTAATTATAGCGGTGATCGTTCTTAGCCTTCGCATGTGCGAAATTTATATTGACAGGGCCTCTAGTGCTATCGGCGAACGAAATGGAGCTGCTACGACGACGGCAGCCGGTGAATTGTTGCACCAACGATTGAAAGTTTTTGGCATCGGCATTGAGGAGCGTGATGGGCGTTTTTTTAGAAGCTCTGGACCGTCTCCGAATAGGCTTCGATATAAAGCCCTTGGGGGCCAAGTGGCTGTCACCGGCGACAACAGGGGTTAACTTGTTTGCGGTGAGAGCGACCGCAGGCACATCGAACGTTTGTTGATTCAGTTGCATCCATTCAGAGGAAGAACCAGATAGGATCTCACTCATGGTTCCAAGGGCTTCTTTGCTAGTTCATAGTTATTAATTTGAAGTTATGTTTAGTTATATAGTATGAATATAGAGTGAGTTGGTGAGCAATGCATCATCAACATGGAGCTGGTCAAAGTAAGACATGTCAATTCGTGACTATTCTTAATGGATGAGAGCAGGATGGACCCTACGAGAGTGGTGAAACGATCCTCCTAAAAATTTTAAATTTATATATATATATATATATTTATTAATAATTTTTTTTTTATTTTTGAAATTTTATAATTTATCGTTCTCCAAAATTTTATAAATTCATCGCTCTAACATAAAATTTTAGTTACTTCTCAGAATGAGAGTAGGTGACTTGCTGCCTAAGGTTCTTTAATGTTTTATGTTATTTCGTGGAAGCAGCAGCAGTACATGTCAATGAGATCATCGCGTACAGATCAATCTCTCACCTCGTGTTCTGGTCAGAAAATTGTTATGAAAATAAGAAATCAACTTCATTTCACTACTTGCTTCTTACACAATCTTTATAAACGTTTTGACTCAGAAACATGTTCAATTTTACTCCCCATTTCATCATGGGAAAGTCTATCGTGCTGGCACCTTATTATACGGTTAAAAAAATATTATCGGTTTTGTTATTATTTTTTTAATAAAATTAGTAAAAAATTATCTAAAACATTATTATTTCTGTCGGTTTTATTATTATTGGGCTTTTTTATCAGTTTTGTTAACATATCCGATAAAACGCTACCGATTTTGTTATTTTTCTAGCGGTTTTGTTATTATTGGGCACTTTACCGAAAATGTTAAAAAACATTAATGTTTTAGGTAGAAATAATAATGTTTTAGGTAATTTTTTATCGATTTTTAAAAAAAAATAATAACAAAACCTTTAATCATAGTTTATGTTGAATATTTTTTATCATTAATTTTTAAAGATAAATTATTTATAATTTAACATAAATTACAGACTACGATCTAAGTAAGTCCTTTAATTTAACATAAATTACATCAATTCTTCACCAACCACACGTTATATATGTTTGAACTCTCCTAAGTAATTAATTACAATCTATAATCCTCATGGATTATCAATATAAATAAAAAATATTTAAATTATACGAAAATTTAAAATTTTATGAGAATGATTGTATTTGTTAATCCTTTGAGTCCTTATGTTGAATGAAGTTTGAGATGTATTATCTTCCTCATATAGATATAGAGTTTTTTTTTTAAAAAAATATTAGAATCTTATTAAGAGTAAGACCACTTAAATTATTTTATTTAATAAATTTATAATCCTTTATTTCAATAAAAAAGTATGATCGCATCATAGACATTAAATTTATGTTTGTTAAAGAAAGAATTAAGAATGGACAATTGTTTATAAAGCTATTGGTTAAGACTCTAAGATCACAAATTTATCACTCAAGTGTTAATATAACTTTGTAATTTTAAGCAGTAGATGAATATTTACTAAACAGTATGCTTTTTTCTTAATAAAAAATCTTGAAGAAAATTGATCATGACCAAACACCTCCTTTATTTATATTTATATTTATTATTTAGTTATTTACCTTCAAAAAATATATATTTATATATATTGTACATGAGAACTTCAAATTTGATAACCCTCATGATACATATAATTAAGAAATATAAAATTAAATTAATTTTTTAGCGTTGTAATTAAAAAATCCATTTGGTAGCAGCATGCGTGCATGGATAGGAGGAGTACAGTGCCGTCAAAAACCAGAATTAACGATTCCTTAGCTCCAAGTTTGAACAGATCCACCCTTTATTTTATTCACCTCGGGATTTAATTAGGATTAGGGTGCCACTGACTCAGTCATATGGAAATGTTCGCTTTTGCCTTGTTTCAAATATAGATTTAAGACGTTTCATATAATTTTTTTTTTTTCCACTATTTTCATATTTATTTTACTGTCGACGTGTGAAATTTGAAATATTTTTTTATAATCATATTAAAATACAATATATTTTATTAGTATATTCAACTATTCCTCATTGTCGATGGAAAAATTTGTGATTGTATATTAATCTATCCTTTTTTGATTTGATTTGGATGAAAGTCACGGTCAATAATTTTAGTGAACCGAAAAAAAATGATGTACGCCGTACGGTGCTCAAAGAGAGATCGAGAGAGATTTTTTCTCTACCAGGGATAGACGTAGAATGTTTTTATGTTTGGAGGGATGAACTTGACCTTATAAAAGTTTTCAGTGGTGAATTTGAATTTATAAAATTCAAGTGGTAAAAACATATTTAAAATATATATATATATAGAAAAAATCTAAAATATATAAAAAAAAAATTAAATTTTCAGCAGCACTGCTTTCACCGGTCCCACCTCCTTGGTCTATCCCTGTCTCCAGTCATATATGATATGTATATATTGGCTCATAATATTGATATTAAGTTTAGGGCCAAAATCATTATTTGTATACTGACATAACGTGTAAATATTTTGATCAGAATAAATTCGATTCTCAACGATTACCTCTTATATGCAAAGAAGGTTACAAGGAGATACAACTTTGATAAATTGACATTTTTATTCCTTTCACATATGGTTTGACTATTATCAGTATACATAAACCCTAATTAAGCTGATAAACGGCAATGGAAATGGGAGTGGCATATATCTTATCTGTACATTATCCTCAAAAGGAAATGAAATGGAAAATGAAGTGAAAGGGCGTTTGAGTGGAATTGATCATTAGCCAGTCGACCCAAGGTTCAGACTAAAACAAAAACAATACAATTGACCACTAATATAGTAACTTATATGTATTCCATCCCAACACACAACACCAAGTGGAGAAGCGTGAGGTGGAAAGTGGACTGCTTTGTACGTATTTGGTTCACTGTTTTCTATTGCTTTAATTCGTATGTTGACTAGCCGCACTTTCAAACCAACAACATTAAATTAAACTACGGCCACTTCATTTGACTATGTACCTCAACGGCTCAACCTACGGTTCTATAAAAAAAACTCTATAAAGTAGATAACGTAATTAATTTAGGGTTTATAATTTATGATTTTAAGTTAGGGTAGATATAGAATGATGTAATTAGACAACATTGATGGTTAAATCGATGCAAAAAAAAGATAGGGGTAAAAGTGATAAATTGAGTATACTACAAAGACAAATGTAACTCTTAAGCCATGTTCTTTCTTACGAATAAATGTGACCTTCTAAATCGAAAGAAATATAATACTTATATATAATGAATCTAGAATGTGATTAATATTAATCGTGATTAAATGAATAAAATAACGTGAATAATTGATCTAGTAAGTTAGTGTGATGGCCTAAGATATGTTATATATTTGGACTAAGTGTGATAAATCTAAATAAGAGATCAAAGGTTAAAAGTAATGACTACAAATTCGTAATTGGCTAGTATGTTTGAAATATGATAGAATAGATGTGTAGCACTTAACTTTGTCAGCTCAACATTCGGATTTCTTTGTTTGCATGTTACAGATCTCGAGGATTATGATAAGATAATAATATCATCGAAGGATCCTCAATGAGAGCTCCAAAATATAGTGATGAGGATTGAAGTAGACACGTAGAAGTTATAAATTTTATTTAAGTTCGTTGTAAATAATGTATTTATGTATTTTAATTTTTAAATAAAAGAGTTTCACTTTTGTAATTTCATATTTTTTATACCTTGTATATTTTATTTTAAAATTTTTAAATAAATTATACTTTATGATATTATGAACTGTGGATCACTTCATGATATTGGTAAATCAGACGGGTCGTATTTTTAATTTTATCGGTAATCGAATGTATATAATTTTCATAGCTGCAGTAGAAATCTAATTGCGCCACATTTTTTTTTCATCAGAATAAATGACACGCTATTTTCATATTATTGCGCCACAGTTTGGGTAATTATTATTTAAAGTTGGATTTTGGAAGTTGGGCCTCTCAATTGACATCAAGCTTTTGCATGTTGCTACCTTCCACCTACCATACTCACTTAAAGAAACTAAGCCCAACTTGTACGCATCCACCTTTTATTTGGGTAGATGAAACCGTGGACGGGAAAGTCTTGTCCGCCATTACTTTAACTCGAATGCATTACCATATGCATTGAATAAGGGTAGATAAAACCGTTGACGGGAAAGATATACAACTGTAGCACATGAACAAAGACATGTTTTTCATATTCCTAATCGAATTCAGACACACAAACACTGAAACTAAGTGATTTATGAATCAACATCCATCCTTACAAGAAGTAATTTCCATCATTTACATATCCATTGGAGTAAAGGACGTCCCCATTAAAAGCCTGTAAAGAAATATCATCCAACTCAAATTCGTCCAGGATCCGATCTGCGTTAGCTCTACTGCTAGAGTAGCTAAACAAGGCATCAACATTCCCAAACGATTGCTGCTGTTGCTGAGATGAGTTCTCTCGATGACTTTGTCGATAATAATAGTGGTTGCCAGCGGCTGGCATTACGGAAGTTGCAGTGCCGCTTATATTATGTTCCTTACCGAGAGCGAAATTCAAGTTAATCGGGCCTCTCCTGTTGGCTGAAAGGTGCGTTGCGGGGCAACCTGTAAACTGTTGCACCAGGGCTCGAAAATTGCTGGCGTTGGCATTGAGAAGGGTGGTCGGTTTTCTCTTTGAAACTCTAGGCCGCCGCCTTATCGGCTTCGAGGAAGAGACGGTACTTGCGGTTATTGCAGTGGCATCGGAGAATCCCGTAGACGGTGCCGACACTTCATCGGCACTCGTATGCTCGTAGAATTGCATCCATCCAGTGGAGGTTCCCCCAGAGGTGTTCATTGAGTAATATTGGTTGCTTTTTTGTTGTGCTTTGATTATAGAAAGGAAACAACCTTAGCTTCGACATGGTTAAATAGTGATAATCTGTGGTCAAAGTAGGATTAAATGGCTTGAGCGCAAAGCATATGATCTTCCTGGAAACCTCGTGTGTGTGTGTGTGAGTGTTAATATCAAGTGTCATCATCATATCACATGCGTTTTGGTTTAACTTAGACATTTTGCCTTTGGGTGGGTCTTTGCTTCTTGGTCAACCTATTCCTTGAAAACAACAAATGAGTTTAAATGTAGGATTTTTGTTGATCTCCGCTGATGTTCTGCTTTTCTTCTGCATTAAGTTGCATATATGCTGTTAGTAGAAGGGTAAACGAACAGAGTTTGATAAACTGATGTTCTTCTTTTCTTCTGCATTAAGTTGCATATATGCTGTTGGTAGAATTTCTTTCACGTGAAAGAAAGGGCTTAGTCGATGCTTACTTTTCTTTTAGGATTTCTTTTATAAACCATAAAAATAAAATTTACACTATTTTAAACGAATATTGATACAGCTCTAAAAAAATATCGTATATTTAATTTTAATAATACATTTAAAAAAATTAATCATGGATAACATTCACACATTTTAATTGCAGACATAGTTGCATAGGTTCTGTGAAGAGGAAACAATGGGGAAGTTTCACAATGTGAAAAGGACTATTACTATAATCTTTGATTTTGACTAAGATGATAATTGGTCACGTGGAACTAATAACAAAATTGACCCTTTCTTATGAGTCTTTCACAGCTCCAGTCAACCAATCAGGCAGTGATTTCGGTCCTCAAAAATAAAAATCATCTTTATAATCTCTCTTTAAGATTAAACATGAACCAAGTCAAATTTAGAGTCTGTTTGTTTAGCTGTAATTGGTTTTCCAGAAAATGAATTACTGGAATTTGAATTACTGGAATTTGAATTACTGGAAAATGAATTACTGGAATTTGAATTCTGGAAAATGAATTACATTTCTGTAAAATGAATTACATTTTTGGAAAATGAATTACATTTCTGGAAAACATATGGAAAACGTTTTATGATGTTTGGAAGATGTTATTTAAACATTTTTTCGGTATATTTTAGTAAAATAAAATTTTATAAATTATATAAATTATTTATTAAAGTAATAGTACTATATTATATTTTAAAAATATTAATTAGTATATTTTAATATCTTTACTAAAATATTATTGAAATATATAAATAATATTATTCATTATTAAATATATAAAAAAAATTATTATATATTATTAAAATAAAAATATAATATCTTATATTATTATAATATAATTGATTATTTTATATAATATTAAAAATATAATATTATATTATTATAAATATTAATAAATATATTTTAAATATTTTAATAATTAATATTTTGATGAAAATGATATTAAAATATTTTTATTAATATTAAATTCATAAAATAAAATTATTTTGAGTATTTTTGCTTTGAAGTGAAAAGTTCGGAAAATGACTTACGGAAAATGAATCCGTAAGTCATTTTACAGAAAACACAAAGGAAATTCTGTTACTAGGAAAATGAATTACATTCCGGAAAACGAATTACGTGAAACAAACACCGGAAAACGTTTTCCGGAAAACGAATTACGTGAAACAAACACGAGAAAACATTTTCCGGAAAACGAATTACGTGAAACAAACACGGGAATTCGGGGAAAACCAATTCCGTAATTCCAATTACGAGAAACAAACAGACCCACCCCAAATTATAATTAATAATTAAATTATATTTTATTGTTAATTCTAGTGGTTAAAGATTTCTAGGTAATTAAGTTTATTTAATGAAGTAAATATTTATTTTTAGGTATTAAAGATTAATTCTTGGTTGTAATTTTTTAGATTTATGTTGCAGATATAATTTTGTAGAGAAGTTAAAAAAGTATTTTGAGATATACTAGGTTTTGATATCTATATCGAATTTTTTGATACATGCTATACTATATATTTATATTCATCGTTTTCTCTATATTTATAATGAATTATTATTCATATCATCTATGAAAATAGACAAAACCGAACCACTTTAAATTTTATTTCTTGTGCATGTCTTATTTTATATTGATATTGGTCTAATTATTTTTCTACTTACAAATACCTACCATGAGCATATTTTATTTTATGTTGATATTGGTTTAGTTATTTTTCCGCTTACAAATTCCTAACATGATAATATCTTAAGTTTCAATTTTTTTTGAGCTTGAATCAATTTTTTATTTTTGATTTCAAATTCGAATTAAACTTGATAATCTTAAACTCACGTATTTTTGAATCTTAAACTCACGTAATTATGAATAGAGTCAAACTCAACTTTGAAAAGCCGATGTGGAACAATCATTCCAGAAAGATGGAAGCATTGTTGCTATGGTGGGTGATGGGATCAATGATTCTCCTGCTCTAGCGGCTGCAGATGTTGGTATGGCAATTGGTGCAGGGACTGATTTTTTCATGGAAGCCGCAGACTATGTTTTGATGAGAAATAACTTGGAAGATGTGATCACGGCCATCGATATCTCAAGGAAAAAATTTAGCCGTATTAGGTTGAACTATGTTCTTGCAATGACCTACAATATGGTTGCAATTCCGATTGCGGCTGGAATTACCTATGCTCTAACATCATGAATGCCCACCTGCCCATAAAAAATATATATTTTGTTCAATATACAGTCTGCACAGACTCTCGTCATGCTATCTAATTACTGGTATGAACAGATTAGATGAGTTCTCAACTTACATCCAACCAATACAGATGCAAAAGTCAAAACCGATGCAATATCGATCATTGAGAAGGGAGTATTTAAGAAAAAAGCCCATAAAAATCAATGCAATGCATATGTATCTCTGAGAAATTAACCTCTCTAGCAACAGCCTGAGCTGTCCTCCAATTATCCCCAGTAACCACGACAGATATGAATTGAAACTAGTCAGGCTGTTAGAAATTACCTCTGCAGAAGCCACCAGCGTAAGGAATTGTCCACGTTCCATCTCTGAGAAAACTTTTGCAGTTGTGACCTTAGCTTTGGCCTGGGTTAAAGTTCCAGTCTTGTCAAATATAACATATTTGACTTTCTGAGCACTTTCCAGCACATCTCCTCCCTTTATCAACACACCATTATTGGGCATTGGCTGCAACCCCTGTAGCAACCATGACAGCGGTTGGAGTAGCCAAGCCAAGAGCAGAAGGACATGACCACTGATATCGAAAACATAAGGGCGAAAACAAAGTAATTTCCATTTTCTGATAGCCACTGCTCTGGATAGGCTCCAGCAACTCCACCAACATACCTGAAATCAATCAACAAAAGTACCCAACTTTAGATGGAGGTCACACGTTTTATATCACAGAAAGGAAAATATAACAAAATATGCCCTTCAGATCTTACCATCCCAACCATGTGATCAGGGACAAAGTAACAACGGTAGGAACAAAGACAACTGCTACCTGCAAGCCGCAAAAACCTAGTATTAAGCACTAAACACAAGAAGCAAACAAGACAACAAAATTGCCTGTAAAAAAATCTTCCACCAATTTAAAGTAATGACTAATGACCTTTTACATGCTACAGCGTTGAACATATATGTTTAATATGAAAATATATTAAAACATAAGTCTATGGGTGTTCATTTAATAAGGAAGCCTACAGTATTTTTGCATTGAATTTTGTCCCAGCCATTCCAAACTTAACAATAAATCATTTGATATTTTCAATAGAAGCTACCTTAAAATTTTATAGGCACTAAATGTGAGTCAATATATGAATGATCCAAGAGAAGAATATTTAGAGACTGTGAATAGAATTCAATATACTTGAAAATGACACCATGACATGAGTAAATTTTTGGAAAGAGTGATGATAGAACAATAAGAAATTTTTTCGGATTCAAGCTGGACAGGTGAATTAACGAATAGAAGATCTACAACTGGATATTGTTCATTTGTTTGGGGAAATCTGGTTACTTGGAGAAGTAAAAAAACAGGATGTGGTGTCTCGAAGTAGTGCAGAAACAGAATTTAGAGCAATGACACTTGGAATTTGCGAAGGAATTTGGCTTCAAAGAATGTTAACTGAGTTGGAGTTATGTGCCAATAAATGGTTTGAACTTCAAAGTGACAGTAAATCTGCAATAAGTATTGCAAAGAATCTAGTTCATCATGACCGAACGAAGCATGTGGAGATTGACAGACATTTCAAGCTCAATTATGTTTCAACGAAGAATCAATTAGCAGATATTCTTACCAAAGCACTTCCAAGAATTACCTTGATGAGATTATATCCAAGTTGGGTCTTTTCAACATTTACTCCCCAACTTGAAGGGGAGTGGAGGTTATGAGATAAGGCTTGTTAGTTAATATTTTAATATAACATTAACTCTTAGAAAGATAGATAATGATAACTAGTAGGTAGTTATTTCTATTAGAAAACTTACTCCTAACTTTTCCTAACTTTTTCTATGAAGGAAAAGATGTACTTTCACCGTTCATAGGGAATGTCTCAGGAAAGGCGGGTTAATATACGGCTAATATACAGCATTACCGGATACATTAAAATGTATTTAATAAATTCGGTTTAGCGGTACCTATTATGTTGACAACTAATAATGTTTTAGGTAGAAAATATGAAAAACTATTAAAAAATTTGGTAACCGGTAAACTTTGGTTATCGGTAAGTATCTATCCTTTTTATAAAAGTGTCCATACTTTTAACATATCAAGTAAATTTTACCGGTTTTGTCATAATGAATCTGGTTTTGTCATATTTTTACCTGTTATATTGTAAATTATCTATCCTTTTTATAAAAGTGTCCATACTTATTTCACTGTGAAAATATATTTATTATTATCTTTAGTTAATATTGTTAAATTTAAAATCTAAATAATATTTTATAAAATATCAAAACAATCAAATAATTTTTTGTGTAAATGAAATTATTAAATTAATATTGTAGGTGGAAAACATGAAACACTATTAAAAAAATTGAAACATAAATTACATAACTTTCAAAAAAGTATATATCATTTTTATAAAAGTGTCCATACTTATTTCACTGTTGAAAACATATTTATTATTATATTTGGTTAATATTGTTAAATTTAAATTCTAAATAATATTTTATAAAATATCAAAACAATCAAATAAAATTTTGTGTAAATTAAATTATTAAATTAATATTGTAGGTGGAAAACATAAAACACTATTAAATAAATTGAAACATAAATTACATAACTTTAAAAGCAGTTTTAAATCCTAAAAAGTGTCGATACTTTTAAGAAATATATCGATCCAAAACGATATACCAGGTAAAATTATGATCAAACCGGTAACAAAATGATAAAACCGGTAAAATTAAAAGTGTCGATACGTTATATAAGGATCGACACTTTGTGAATTTAAAAGAGAAGCAGTTATAGCGCCTATAATGTGTCGATACTTTAAAAACAAATATCGATCCACAACGATATAACAGGTAAAAATATGATAAAACCGGTATCAAAATGATAAAAACGGTAAAATGATACCGGATATATTGAAAGTGTCGATACTTTCGTAAGTACGTGTAATAAATTATCGACACTTTCAAAGAAATAGGTAATTATCCTTTCGAAAGTATCGACACCTGACATAAAAGTATCGACACTTTTGTATTTGTATCGATTAAATATAAATAACATATCCGATGAAAATATAAGCTAAATATCCTCTGAAAATAGATAGAACGGACGAGTTTTGAAATCGAAGAGTAATTGTTGCTGCATTTCAGAAGGCGTTTCTAAAGCGAAGTTTGTTTGTTTGTTGCTGCAGTCGAATCGAAAAGTATGTTGTCGAAACCCTAATTTTTTATTATTACAGTAATCGCGATAGGGTTTTTTATGTGTTGTTTGGGGTTTTGGAGTAAGGAAGCATTTGGGACCGATTGCAGGTAGAAATAGATATTCAAGGAAAACGATAATGTCGATACTTTTATTAAATATTATAGGTAGAAAATGATATTATAGGTTGTATAAATGTGCCGACACATTTTGGTGTGGCCATTCAAATTCTTTTGAAGAAAACCGTTTTACCACAAGAGTAGTTATCTATATTTGTATATTGAAAAGTGTATGTAACAAAATAATTTGATTTGCGTAAACTGATATATGAAGGAAAAATGGAGTCAATGGGTTGGAAAATTGTTGGTGGAGCAGATGACTTTGAAATTGAGGCCGAGACTCGAAAGCAACCAAAGGGTGGATATATGTACTTCTAGTAAGTATCAATGTCTTTTTGTTATTATTGTTGAAATGGTAATTGGATTAAAGTATCGATAAACTTTAAATTGATTACAAATTTTAAATGTTAACAGTATGGCCGAATGCAAAAGGATGAAGGGAGATGGCACACAGAGCGGTTCGGTATGTAAAATGAAATTGACATTGAGTAGTATTAGTATTTAGTGTTAATGTATTGATTAAGAAACGTTTATGTTTAATATTAGGTGAAAAAAGATGTGAGGTCCAAATGGAATTCAATGAGTGATGCTGAAAAGGAACCTTACATCACACAGTCAAGGAATGATAGTAAAGAATACAAAGAACGGAGGAAAGCACATGAAAATAAGGTATTCATTAAACTTGTAAATACGTTGATACAAAATATATAAGAACTATAACATTATATATTGTTAAAAAATGTAGGAAGTGTCGACAAGGTGCAGCATTAAAAGGGTGAATTTATTAATTAAACACCTTAAGGAGAAGGGTCAGTTGAATGTGCTGGGAGAAATAGGTTTTGGATCGTTGATCGGAGTAAGGGATCGACCTATTCGGAGGGAATTGTGTCGATCCTTGATGGCACAATTTGACGTCAGTCAATGTATGGCTAAGTATGGTGATTATTCATTCCCTCTGGGGGTATCGACTGCTGCAGCCGTATTGGGGGTACAAAACAAAGGCAAAAGTGTTATAGAAGTCTGTAGGAGTAAGAACTGGAAAGCACTTGCCTCCAAATATGGTTTGAATCATAAGGTGACATATACTGAAGTTGAAGAGGATATCAAAAGTGGATCTTACTTGGGGGATGAGCTGAAGGCCCGAGTTCTATTGTACCTTGTCGGTATATTTCTTTGTCCAACGGGTGATACGTCAACGAACAAGGAATATATGAAGCTCATTTGCGATGAAGGCTTAAAGGGTGAATTCAATTGGGCTGAATATATCCATTCGAGATTGATTGAATCAATTATCACCTTTAAAAAGGGCAGCCAGAGATACCTCAAAGGGTGCATAGCAATCTTAGAGGTAAATGAGTTGAATCACTTTTTTGTGTTTTTATATAAAAATTCTAATTTTATTATAAATGCAGGTTGCACTGTTCGATTTTTGGTCGGGCTGTGAGGCAGTGCCGGCTTATGAAAGAACCGGAGTGGCACGCATCCGTGCATGGGGGAAGGAAGAGGTGGTTAGAGTGATGGTGAAGTTGAAGTTGGATAGAGGGAAGAAGCAAGAAATGGTAATAAATGTAATTAAATAATATTAAGAATATAATCAATGTCTTAATATTGTAATTTAATTTTTTGAAGGTTATTGGCAAGGATGTAGAGGAGGCAGTGGAGGCAGAGGAGAAGAAAGGAGGGATGGTGTATTGAGGGAAGAAGTATTGGGGGATGAAGGTGAGTGGGACGACGGTGAAGCAAAACAGAGTAACTTCGACATTTTGATGTCTGAATTGGCTGATATCAAAAAAATCCAATTTGAAATCATGCAAAGACAATCAAGAGTCGAAGAGAAACTTGATCAAGTCGTAGAGAAACTCGAGAGGCATAAGGGGGTAGTGGAAGGGAAAATAGATGGAGTGGTGAAAGAAGTAGAGGTGTTGAGGGGTGAAGTGGTGAAAGAAGTTTCGGTGTTAAGGGGTGATATTAAGATGGTGACGGGAGAGAAATTTGAGGGAGTGGTGAAGGAGGTTGTTGATTTGAGGAGTGAACTTACGGGGGTGAAGGGGGTGGTTGATAAATACTCGGATGAAGGAGCTCAATTGAAGGGTGAAATAAAAGATATGAAGAGCTATGTAGAAAAAAAGTACGATGAACTGAAAAAATATGAAGAAGAAAAGAGGGAGGAGGAAGAAGAAGAGATGGAAGAAATGAGGAGGAAGGAGAGGCCCAATGTGCTTTATACACCGGAGAGTGTCATAGCAGCAGTTTTGGATTCGGAATGTCCTGCACCCCAGAAGAAGAAGCAGAAGGTAAGTTTAATAAAAGAATACTTAATTTGATTTTTATTATGTTGTTGTGACAAAAATTTGTATGCAAAATTGTAGGTTGAAAAAGCGGACATTCCAACTGGAATTGATGACATCGAAGCTGCAATTTGTGATTATTTATGGAATAGCGAGTTAGAATCGGGGTAAGTGAAATATATTGTTTTGTGAGTGATATTTAAATATTTCATGACAAGATATTAATCCTAATGATTCATACAGATATTCTGTAATATCAATGGGAAATCAATTCGCTACTGTATACGACGTTGCAACGTTGAAGCCTACAGAATGGGTTGGCGGTGTGGTAAGTAGAAAGTAGAAAATAAATAAAACTTATTGAATATGTTCTGATTGTGTAATTAATTTTGTTAGGTTATCGATTTGCTCGCCTGGACCATATGCTACGATTCTCAAAAGTCACACCGGAGGATTGGCTACCTTCCATACCTCTTAGTGGTGAGTTAAATTAATAAATATTGAAAAGTAGTGTTATAGACGGTAAATTAATAATGTTTGTTGCGTAATTACAGCAACAGGCGTTGGAAGCCAACAATAAAGAAAGTGTTGAGAATATTTCTACCTTCTGGGGTGTCATATTGGATAACTATGTGAAATTCACGGACTGTGAGAAGGTAAGACACCATACCAATTGCAAATGATGTTTTCGGATATAGAATGTTGAATTTTGTCAAATTGGGTGTGAAATTTGTTGCAGATAATGATCACAATAAACTACCATAATTCACACTGGTATCTGTTGGTGTTGGATATGGTAGATCATGTTGTAACATATATGATAGTATGTTTACAACTGAAGCAGCTAAACAGAGAGTGAAGGATGCTAAGAGATTGGTATGTATGTATGTATGAAAGGACATTATGTAAATTA